TCTTGTGAGGTGCCAGTACAAGTGAGGGAATCTGCAAACACTGCAGGGCTGACAGTATACAGAATCATTAAGGTTAGGAAGCACCTTTGAGATCACTGAGTCCCATTTTTTGCGGGAATGAAGACGTTTACTTAGCCAAACTGGAGTGCTTTTTCACATTTAAAATTGCTCTTTGCGTGTGTGATGTTCACTCCCCACATGCATCCAGGGACGTTTATGCACTGTGGTGGTTTATTTTAGTGTTAAAGGATGGGCTGTAGCCTTTATTTCCCCTCAAGCTTGGCACAGCCTGGCAGCTGGTGGTTCTCCACAGCCCCTGTGCGGGCGAGTGAGGCAGCACAGCAAACTCTGATCCAAGAAGGGGTCAGTTTAGTTCCTGTCACCTGTGAAATTACGCAAGGCAGGAAAGCTAGTGCTTGATGGATGCCTTGGAATCAAACTGAGAGGCCTCTCGTAGCCTGGGGTGCGCCTGCCTCAGCACAGGCATGAGCCCTCACACCTGAGTGCTTCCGAGACCTGACTGGACTTGGGGTATATTCCTTGTGGATGCCTGAGATCCCAGAGAAGTGGAACATGGAATGCAATCGCTGTATGAAGAGATAATCCTACTGAATATCTGGATTATTACAGTAGGAATCAGTAATGGGTATGGGAATTTGAATTTTTGACATTATGAAAACTTCTCATTATGAGCTTGTCCATGCTGGTTTATTTCATGTGTTTCTATAACCTCTGTGGAAAATCTATCAGGTTAGCAAACAATTGCATCAGTGTTGTATACGTTCTTGTCAAAAAAACCTGCACTGATAGAATGTAATGTGCAAAATTAAAATGTTATGTTAGATTATTCAAGTTGTTTGATTCCTGCATCACCTTTGTTCTTGTTTATAATTACAATTCCATCCACTTTTTCCAGTGAAGCTGCTTTATTACTTCCTTACAGCATCACCAAACTCTTCCTAGGTCCCAAACCAGCAATTTGAGTGTGCATGTTTCCTGGCAGCGTAAGTGTGGAACTGTTCTCAGCAGCTGATTCGGGAGAACTGATTCCCTTACAAGTTTTGGTGGGATTGAGAAGTTTAATACAGTGAGCTTCCATGACTCCCATGGGTGCTCTCATTTGACAGAGGATGTGTGAGTCTTGAGTAAAACAGATGCTGATGAACTCTGAAAGTTGTGCAACAAGGCAGAATTTTGTAAATAGACTCAATTTAATTTTGCTGGTTAAACCACAGTTAACAGAAATACGTGAATTTTGACACACACAGGTTCCAGTGCAGGTTTTTGTGGAAGCAGGCAGTTCAGGAGTACACACACACTGAGAGCAGCAGCACCAGGCTGCAGTTAACACCATGTGACAGAAAAGGTGGTAGACATCTCTGAAGCAAGACAGAGGTGTTGTAAGAAAACAGGTGATAGTGTCATTAGTCCGCAGAGGACACATTTTTGACTACCACTGCTCGTATTCTGCTTTATGATATGATACAACCAGCTTTATGATAGCAGCATGGAATTATTTGAGCTATTCCAAAGAAAGAAAAACCCACCCCAAAACCCAGTGAAAAAGCCACCAAGCCCCCACTTCTGTAAAATGTGTAGTAGCTGTTAATATTCACTGAATTCCTTATGTTTTTTCTGTTTCCTATTGATTTAAAACCTGTGGTGCACTTCTTATCTTATTGTTGTCTTTATCAAGTAGAAGTACAGATGTCATGGTTGGTTGAAATTCATGGTATTTGAGTAGGTCAAAGCTGTCGTCTTATTATTTGTCTTAGGCATGTGCAGTGAATACATATTTTTCAATCTAGTACGAATCAAGTCAGGTATAATTTTGTGTGTCCTATATTAACTGGTGGGAACTTTCAAGTATAGCTCTAGCTAATCATTTCTACAGGTGTTTTTCAAGAAATATTGGAATTTTTGAAATTTGACCTAAAATGAGTTGACTTGTCTTACGTTAGGTTTTTAGCTTACACTGCGACACCTAATATGTGCCTTTGGCTCTTCTGGAATATGTCACATTTGAGTAGGAACATTTCATGTATTAATGAATCTGTCCCTGTGGAAAAACAAAAAGCCTGACTCCTGAGCTGCTGATAGGATGGCATCTGCTGGGAATAAACATCTGGGAACAGGAGAAAGACTATTCTGCTTCAGAAGAATTAGGCTCTGTCTAGACTGGGGATTTGACCCGATTACAGCCATTACTGGCTGACAGGAACTCTCCATTGATGCAATCTATGGAGCAGATAGACAAAGCTGCTGCCTGAATGTGTGAGGCTTCCAAACCAAAACTCCACCTGATTGCACATAGGGGTTTGTACCTTTATGTTTGCTACTATTCCTGTGTCACTGCAGCAAAACATCTGTGATTTTCACATCCACATGTTGGCGAGCTCAAGGGGACTATGGACATGAACTAGAGGAAGTTGATCTTTTGCAGTACAAATGCAACTTAGAGCCAATAGAACAAACATCTATCAATATGCTAGTCAGAGAAACATGCACATAGTCATTTAAAGGGGGTTTGGTGCATTCTGAGACCCAGGATCTAGTTGGCTTAAGAGCCATAAGCCAGCTCATTGCTACAGAAGGATTTCACTATGTTGAGATCATGCAAACCAGTAAAACAAGCTTTATACCTTCATACCTGTAAGTCTGGGTTGTTAATGAGAGTCTAAATAATTCAGTATTGAACATGTGTGTATTAAGACCTGAAAACTGTGAAACTATGCAATACTGATTTCTCTTTAGTGGTTGTTAGTATTTGATGTTTGCTTTCATTCAATACTTGTGATGTAAATAATATTTTAATTAACTCTTATAGGAGAATTTGCAGCAGTTGATCATGATGTCTTTGCCAAATGTATTAATAATTGGCAAAAACCCTTTTTCTGGTAAGTTTATTTTTGACTTGGATAAAAATGTATATTGATGTGATAATTTATGTAAATTGATACAGGGTTGAGCCTTTCAACAGAAGATTATATAAATCTTTTTAAAATAAGTGATTTAATAATGATGAGTAATGATTTAATAATTATTGTCTTTGTTCACACAAAGGGTCCAAGCTATCCAAAAATGTGTTCTGTCCCAACCTCAGCACTGGGTGTCCCTAGGATTTCTGTTGAAACAGTGCATTTCCCAGGAAGCAGCGAGCCATTGGTCGCACAAAGTCTGAATTACGTGTCCTCCCAGCTACTACACTTCCAGCTTTCTTTACCTATGTCACCACTGAGGAAATTGGCAGTGCAGTGCATCTCACCTGATCTGACTCCTAATCCTTGTTTTTCTCTTCCCCAAACTCTCCTGCTTCTCTTGCATCGTTACCTCAAAAATATTGCAGTTACCTTCTTGCTTTCTCCCCTGAACTGACGCTGTCTTCTCCATGCTCCCACCTTCTCTGCTTCCAGCTCTTGAGAGTTGCAATTTTCAGACCAAGAAAATTAGCCTGTGTGGACCCAGCTGATTATCCACAGCCACTTGGGAATCTCTGCACCATGCTCTCAATTCCAGAAGCACGGAGCAGACACACCTGGCCTGCATGGAGCCACTATGGATTGGGCAGAATTTATTTACTTGGGGTCTAATGTGTCCCAGGTGTTCTACTTCTGATGTTCTAGCACCTCAGCAGAGAGGTTAGGAACTCCTCTAACAGGCTGTGTAGCTTCCCCTGGCTTTTTTTATTCATTTGAGATGTCTTCTCTGCCATGCTTCCGTGTGTGTGAGACAAGGTTTTGCTCGTGAGCAAGAAGAACCATCTGTATTATCTCACTTTTCAGTCCCAGGGGTCATAATGTTGGTATTTTCCATATCCCATCTGCATATATCCCATTTATCGTAGGTATCTTGCTTTAATTCTTTTGGTTTTCACTTGCTGCTTTTGAATATTGCTGCTTTTGCTTCTGAGGTCACAGCCTTTTTAAGTTTTGGCATGTGTAGCTGCCGTTGTGTGCACCAAGAAGTGTGAATGTGGTCTCTTCTTTTCCAAAAGAATAGAATGCATCCTGCTTTTATATTTTGATTCCAGGCGTTCTTAAGTTTTTTTCCAGAGACTCCATGGATTTGCCTAGAAAACAGATTTACTGGAAAAACAAATTAAAAAAACCCCAGGTCATAGTATTGTTTTTGTAGTGGAATTTTTTTATACTGAGACAAAGTGGCTTAATAATACTGTGTAGTGTAATATGAAATTTTATTAAAAATGCACTATAAACCCCCACAAAGATAGTATTGTATCCAGTTTTTTATATAAAAGTCTGTGCTTTAGTCATTAATAAGGAGGTGTCTTCGTGTTGTGGGACCTCAGCTAACTGCGCAGCTTTTGTGGTTTGGCAGCTCCTCTGCTGGTGTGTGCATTGCTCTCCTGTGGGGACCTTATTGGATTTGTGGGAAAATACGGACTTTCCTGTAGCATAGCCCTTGTATCAAAAATAAAATTGTTATGTTTGGACAGCATTCTTGAAGCTGTTTCAGATTCCTGCCCGAGTTCATTGTGCAGTCTGGTCTGAGTCAGAAGATAGACCTGTTCTTTTGAGTTCCATCCAGAACCTTTCCCCTGTGAAAGTTGGGACTGATTTTGCCTTGTCAACCTGAAGAGGACCTCATCCCTACAATGATTTTTAAGCTTCTTCCCTTGGTGGGCAAGTGTAGGGCAACTAAACCTGAGTGACCTTTCAAGGGACTTGTAGTGTAAATCAGATTGCATCGAGGCAAGCCCACAGAGTAGAAGTCAGTTCTCTGATAATGATTCGGATTTGGTCCACTAAAGCTTAGGCTGGAGCTGTGATTTTTCACAGAAATGTCTGTCTCCCAGTTTTTCCCCTTTGCACTACTCTGCACTTAAGGAATGACTAGTAGAGACATATCAGATCACAAATAGCACGTGGCAAGAGCAGGTAAGATTTTTAGGAAGAGAAGTGTGTTTTACTCTTATCAGAGGCAGTTGGCTCATGGAGGAAAATGCAGATAGAAGGCTGGATTTGAGGTTTGGTAAAATAGAGGTCATCAGGGACTTTATCGAGAAACATTTCAGCTGAGCTAATTGGCAGGAAGCCAATTCAAGGAGAAGACTGGAGAAGAGCTACAGCCTGTGACTGTAAATGTTAAATTACAGAGGGAGAGAAGACAGGAGATAATGACGAGGCAAATGATCTTGAACAGGAGAAGAGGAAAGATTAAAGCAAGTTCATATCTCTGAGGGTGGAAGGCTGCAAAGGGTATAAAAGTCATGGATAAGAGTGAGCACAGGGAAAATCAAAGGGTAAGCACAGGGTAGGGACAAGGTTCAAGCAGCAAGTTGGAGGGTGTAGAAGAGAACGAACTATTTGTGATGGAGGAAAAGGAAGAGAAACATACAAGGTGTTTGGTAGCAGAGGGAAGCTGAGCTTGTTCCATATTCTTCCATGTTCCTTCAGGGATTGTGGGGGAGAGATATGGAAACAACATTCAGTTAGGCATTTAAAAGCCAGTCAAGAGATTAAGCAGTAAGCAAAGGAGCATCCAAAGAGGAGTTCGGGAATTGCTCAAAATAACAAAATGTGATTAATTTGTTGGGATTAATTAGGATGTGAGTTGTTGGGATGGATTCCTCCTGTTACAGTATTCCAGTTAACTTTTATGGGTTACGGCAGACAGCCAGGTGGAATTCCCCTTCTCTAGCTGAAGCAGCTTCTGGTGAGATGTTCATTGATGTTTTCTGTTTCTATGTGAAAGACTTCACGGCAGAGTCTTTGGGATACCAGAAGTCTGTGTACGTGATTAAAAATCTCCCATTTGAGCTCGTGTTCTTTGAAACATCTCTATCTATCTGACAAACCTCTTGAAAAATTTGAACATCCCATGTTCATTGGGATTATCCATATTATTTAGCTCCCTCTAAAAGCAGGTTGAGTCAGTGTTGAAAAAGGCTCTCTGCTTAATATTGTGTACTGCACAGAGTCCTCTTGCAGCCAGGAGGAAGGTGGAGAAGTTTAGGCCATGTCTTTCACCTCTGCTTTATGGTAGCAGGTTTGACTCTTTACTGAAGGTAGTCAAAATCATTAGGAGTTCTGTATCCTTTCAGATTTTTTTTCTTGATCTCTTTTGAATTTCCTCTTTTGATCAAGATTTCCTCATTTACCTCACTTGCGAAAGGACAGTTTTTCAAGGGCTTGGAAGCCAGTGGTTACAACTTTCTTCAGTCAGAGTTCATCTAAAATAGTCTTAGTTGCCCCATGTAGAGGATTGTTAGCTGCCATTTCTGAATGAGTTTCCTTTTAGGTGCTTGTAACCCAGTCACTTTGTGAACATTGCAGAGCATCTGTGATTACCAAGTCCTTTTAAAAAGGAACTGGAGTATGGACTGAAATCCGGAGTATATTGTAGAAAGGTTGCTCTTAGGACCCTTTGATTCCTAGATGGCCCATGGATAGTGTTTTCTGTTTCAGCAAAATGGTATGTGACCATACAGAATTGAATTCCAGCTAGCCTGAACTATTTTGCCATCCTTGAAGTCATGCCATCTTTGGCATTTATATTCTAGATATGGGATATGGCTGTATATTTAGTAGCACGATGAGGGCGTTCTGAATGAAAAAAGTAAGGAACATTTTTAATAATCTGTGAACAGAGTTCTCTAAGTTAAGCTTCTTTAGGAGATTAAGATGCTTAAGGCCAGATTTGGAAATACATTTTGATTTTTAGATGTGCAGATGAATATCTCACACAGCTTTGTAAAAGATTTAAATGAAGTTGTCACCTAACTCTTCCAGCTTGGGGGTGGCAGATAATTTAAGCACTTCAGTAACTTTCTTGATATACCTGAGATTACCATCGAAAACTTGATTGTAGGTCTCCAAAGCACTTTTAAAAATGTCACGCTGAAGTTTGTTTTTTGAAGGGCTGAAATGATGGGGGTTTTTTCCATTTGAAATTATTATGGGTGTTAAACTGTTTGTTAACTCTGAACATTGGCAGTTAAATAGCAAAAAGGCCTAAATTGAAAGCTAGGGCAATGGGGTTTTACTCATGTGTTTGTTTTCTGAACTAGGTTAGCAGAAATAATGAGAAAACCTGATGTTTTCTGAGGGGTAGGGGAAGAAGCTCAAATTACCATTTTACACCTACATTTTTTGTTCTTGGTTTCTTCTTAGAGCCAGGTACTGAAGAAGTAAAAAAGCTCCTCCTGCTTTTACTTGGTTGTGCAGTCCAGGTAAGTTTCATTATGTTTATACCTGTATGAAATTGTTGAAGTGTTACTGATCTCTTTTCCTGCTATTTTAATACCTGAAGTGGTATATAATGCTGACCTCCCTTCCTCTGGTGGTACTATTGCATTCCTTGAGAATCTGAGTATTCTTACAGTTATTGTACAAGTATCACAAACTGTGTATGTAGGATTTCTAATAGTTTATAAATGTCGGTAGTGTTAATTTACCTGATATTGTAAAGAAAGGAAGAAAATGGTAAAGTATCTTACTGATACATCTGTTGGATAATAGTTCATTAATGTGATCATTGTAATGTCAGCCTTAGCAGTTTTAGGTCTTAGAAATAGGAAAGAAGAATGAAAATACTTGCGATTATAAATGTATTTAAAATAGATGTCTTTGTTTTTAGTGTCAGAAAAAAGAAGAATTTATTGAAAGAATACAAGGTCTGGATTTTGACACTAGAGCAGCTGTTGCAGCCCATATTCAGGAGGTATATTGGGGGGGTTATGCTTTAAATTTGATTTTTTTGTTTTTGTGAGGTGGAATATTGTCTTGTAGAGAGATTAATTGCACTTGTTCAAAAGCAAGTAGATGAAATACATGATTTGCAGGTCTAGTTGTTTTAATAAGCAAGAAAAAGCCCTGATTTTTTCATTTGATTCACAGAAAAGATTTCATGATTGAGTGATTTTGGATTACATTGTTAAAGCAGTACCAGGAAGCAAGTTTGTTGCTTCAAGAATTTCTTGGAGTTACAGCAGATTTAGTAACATTTTCTTATGCGTATTTACCTATACAATACAATTCCAATCCCACATATGTGATAGGTAATATACAGTATGTCATAGTCACCTTTTGCTTTTTATTTTGCCAGTAATGAAAGGAACTGCTTTTAGCTAGACAAGAAATTCTTCCATTACGTACAATTCAATATATTTTGAAGTTTTTTTCATACTTTATCTGGAGAGTTTAACCCAAAGAGTTGCAGCTTTATTTTCTTTATGCTTCCTTTCTACTCTTACAGTTTCAAGAGGATGTTTTTTCTCTTTCATCTCGTTCCATGTAGGTAACTCATAATCACGAAAACGTGTTTGATCTGCAGTGGATGGATGTCATTGTGTTGACACAAGAGTATATTGAACCTCTCCTGAAAAATATGGCATTACATTTAAAAAGGCTTATAGATGAAAGAGATGAGCACTCAGAGGTATGGATTTGGTTTGGTGCTTGAGAGAAACATAAGAAATAATGCTTTTAAGATGATGGAGCTTAACCATGAGGTAGAGGATATGTGGTAATGTATTTGGAAAGCAAAGGAAAATTAACTTTAAAATACAAGACATCATATTTGGAGAAGACCTTTATTTATATGAAGAAACAGGAATATTGCTATAGGTCTGATACTTTATTCAGTTGTCTAGGATGTACCACTTTCTTTAGAGATACGCCTTTATCCTTGTGTTCAAGGAATTTGTGCCTCTCATCGCCCGTTCCATTCAGAGCCCTGATAATAATTTTGTGGACTTAGAAGTCTAAATTTCAAGTTAAAAATACAGTTTATAAACACCGATTGGTCCTGTTAAATGGCTGTGTCTCTTTGCTTTAGGTATTGAGGTGCAAGCAGGGCTTCTAACTTTTTTTATGGTCCAAACCTTTCCATTATTCTTGTTTCATTCTGGTCTTTGGTTTCTTAAGGCAGTGAATACTAGTTTCTGACATAAATGGCTCTCTGAATGCAACTCTGTATTGTTTTCTTCTCTTTTGTCTTTAATTCCTCAGACTATCATAGAACTGTCTGAAGAACGGGACTGTCTCCGTTTCCTACCTCATGCATCAGCAGCACAATCCCCTTGTGGCTCTCCTGGCATGAAGCGCACCGAGAGCAGACAGCACCTGTCTGTAGAGCTTGCAGATGCCAAAGCAAAGATTAGAAGGCTTAGGCAAGAGCTGTGAGTACCTGTAGAGAGTCAAAGAGTTTTAAAATGCTGATGTTGCACACTAGTCGTGCTCTTCAGACAACTTCTTCATCTTCTCAAATAGTAAATTGCAGTTTTAAATGCTTTTTCTTAGTTATTGCACCCCAGGAAACATGTTTTTGTAATGTAAGCAGATTTGTGGGCCCATGTGACAAATACAACTTTGCATCTGTTTGCCTATGTTTGTATTATGAATCATATTCATGTTTTGACCATTCAAAGATCAGTGGCAAAAATGTCCTTTTAAAAGGAGTTAGTGCAGGAGTGATTCGTTCTCAGCAGCTGATTGTTACCTGTTTGTTGTTGGAAACAGTAAGAAATAGTTGCCTGTGGTTCATTCATAGTTTATGAAGCATTTAAATTTGTTGCAGATAGCACAAACATGATTAAAATAATTTCTTGTCCCCAATCTCTTTGTTTCTTTCTGTGTAGAAGTTTTCTTGGCTGCACAACACTTGTTTGCTCATGCAAACTACTACTGATTCAGTAGGTACCAGTGGGTACTTGGTCTGTATTTAAGTCTAGGATCAATAATAGTCCTGTGGAGAATCTGTTTCTCCCTGTAGCAATGTGTAAGTTGTTTTAGCAGAGTGAAGTATGTGTGCTCGGAATTAAAAATACAAATGTTAACTCTGAAGAGACTCAAGATGTGTAGTAACTTGCCTGTGGTGTAGAAACAACATAAATAAAGATATTTTTTTTTACATTCAGCGTATCTCATGGAGAGAGGAGACAGGTAAATGAAAATAAAAGTTGAAGGTAGCATAAGTCAGTTCCCAGCTTGCTGCTCGGCTGTTAGCAGGGTTTGTTGATCAGATCATCTCTAGCTGGCTGGATTAAGTATCTTGTTGACTTACTCAGAGGATCCCCTTCCCCCCACTACATCATGGTCTTCATGAGGAATAGAGGACAAAAGATAGGGCTCTTTTTTCCTGATGTCTGTATTATTCTGTGTCTGCTGAAGTGAGCCCGCCCAGGATATTCTATAAACAGCTGCACCAAGAAAATTAGTGAAAAAATTGCTGTTATTAGTTTGATTGACAGTTAATAGATAGCCTAAACAGTGAACACTGGTATGTTCTGTATAATTTAGTCCAATCCTCTCTAGTCTGTAGCTGAAGCATGCAATTAGGCCAACAGTGATGGCTCAGAACAATTTCACATTTTGCTCTCTTACTTGAATTCAGATTGTAAATAAATTCCATTTGCACATAACAGTATCTTTAAAATACTGATCTGTGGTAAATTAACTTCTGGCTGCAGCATTTGGTATTAAATGCTGCGTCTCTTTGATTTAATTTAAAATTACATTAATTCCAGAGTAGAAAATATTCAGCTTAAAATGTATTTATAATCTGGTTTTGGCAGTGAACCTTCATACCTGGTTTAATGTGCACTGCTGCTGTTGTAATTTCATATAAAAGGTCTGTAAAGATTATTTTTCAGTTGGATGCAAACCAGGGATTTGAGGCTTGTAATACAGAAACTCTAGAGCTGGAAATTGCACACCTAATTTTCTGTTTCGGGTTCTGTGTGTTTCCATGTAGAACAATAACAGAGGAATAGGAATGCTAATAGAAAAGTCATCTAATACAGAATGTATTTGTGTTTCTCACTGGTTTCTGAGCACCTGTGAAAAGGGAAAGCTGTGATACCAGCTGTAGACAGGGCTGTTGCACTGAGCTATACCTAGCTGTACCCCCCTGTGCTTGTAGGCTGTCAGTGACCTTTTCCAAACCATTTCTGGTAGCAAAAAGATCATTCATGGTGAGATGGGCTCAGTTTTTAAAACTGATCTAGACCTGTTTAAAACAGATCTGGTTTTTTGTTAGTATGATTACTTTTAGATTGTGTTATACACTTCAGTCCATTAAATTCCCTTATTTCCCTCTTTTCCACTTTTGATTGTATCTTGCTTGGATTCCAAAATATGAAATAATGTAGTAACATATCAGAATATGCAATGTGTCTTTTAAGAATATACAGTATTGGATAGGGTATGTTTTATCAACACCAAATCCTGTTTGTTCTCAGGTGCAGTTGACTATGGAACATCAGGTATTCTGTGTCACTGAGAGAATTAAGTATTTCGCTTGCACTTACTGTTTAACAAATACATGTTTTGAGGATTGAGAAAGAAGTGTTAGCTGGAAGTCAAGCATGAATCTTGTAAGAATTGTAGTAGTCTCTGTCAAATTGGTTTTATCACAAATTCGAATAGACTAAAACAGACACTATGTTGTTTCCATAAAATTAAAATTCCCACTGTGCTCCATAAAATTATTAAGTTGTTAAGCAGTATCTTTAATTGAGTAAAGGCACCTGAAATCATTAATTCTTCTCTGTAAGAAAAAGGAAAATTACAGAAGTATAAAAACGCTTTTAAAATTGGTTTTACCTGAACTGTGACAGGATGTGTCAGTGGTTATTGGTTCTTCTGGAAAGTATTTAGACCTTTCAAATGTGTACTTTGGGATTATTCTGAGTTTACTTTGGGATGTGAAGCTCTTGGTGCACATTCATGTGTATTATCTGGGGGATTTTACCAAATAAATCCCTTATTACACCCTAATGCTTTCTGCCCTGCATAAGTAGTAAATCTTAATGAACAACAATTGAAAGGACTTTGAAAAATCTGACCAAATAAAACCCCTCTAAAATTTAGATAAAGACTAAAACCTAAAGAACACCTAATGATAATGTCATACCTAACTTTTACACTCCAGTGTCTCTGAAGTTGTGGATTAAAAGGTAGAAGCCTCACAAATCTCAGCATTTTGTTCTCAAACAAGATGATCGTTAGTGAGTTGCAGCCATGTTTAACTGGTTTATGTTTTCCCTTTAAGTGAGGAAAAGACTGAGCAGCTGCTTGACTGTAAACAAGAACTTGAACAGATGGAAGCTGAGCTGAAGAGACTTCAGCAAGAGGTATGGGGTTCTATGTATCCCCTGAGTGTACATGTGCTGAGTATTTCTCAAAATCAATGCACTCAAGTTTTGTCTGGTTTTTCATTATAGTTTGAGTCTATGTAGTGATAATGAGGGAAAACACTTGGTTTGTTTATTAGGATATGAGTCTATAAAATTATTGGAGTCCTTGAGAAAGATCAATGTAGTTTGCTTGGAAATATCATCTAGCCTGAGCCTCTAAAATATATTCTATTTTCTCTTTAGCATTCTTTCTCAGAATTAACTAATTACCACAATACCCTCTGCATTACCCGAATTTAAATGACGAAGTAGCTCTGTTATCCTTTAGCATGTCCTGTCCACTGTTCTTGCCTTTAATTTCTGTGTTTTCCTGTTTCCTAGAACATGAATTTACTCTCAGATGCTCGTTCTGCCAGAGTGTACAGAGATGAATTAGATGCTCTTCGTGAGAAGGCAATCCGAGTCGACAAGCTTGAAAGTGAAGTCAGCCGCTACAAAGAGAGGCTGCATGACATTGAATTCTACAAAGCCAGAGTGGAGGTATATATATTCAGGGGGAAATACCCCAGAACCATCGGGTTTTGTTTGCTGGGCCTTTTGCAAAAGTATTTTGAGGATGTAAACATTGGGAAGTGAAAAGAGCGTTACAGTTTCTTGCTGTGCGATAGATGATAGTGAGTCTTTTGTGACAAATGCCAGTTTTGAGGGAAGTGCCCTTGTGCCTGGTGGCATCCAGCTGCTTTGGAAGTCACCAGGATTCACTATAGCTCTGAGCTAGAAAAGCCAGTGACACTATAAAGGGTATGTACTATGTAGTGAGAAACCCAGTCACAGAATCAGTCAGGCTGGAAAAGACTTCCAAGGTTATCGAGTCCAACCAATGATCTAACACCACCAATGGCACTAAGTGCCCTGTCCAGTCTTTCCTTAAATACCTCCACGAATGGTGACTCCACCCCACCACCTCCCTGGTGGGCCTCTTCCAATGGCAAATCACCCTTTCTGTAAAAATAAATCCCAAGGAGGGATCCATGTAAAAAATGCTATAAATATAGTGATTTACTTCTCCTCTTGTCTGTGAAGGGAAGATAGTTTTCTAAGTCAAGTGTTGAGGAAATGGTGGCTATACACATAAATGAGCATAGCATAATGGCATTCTAGACATAAAATGCACTAAAAAAAAAGATGCACTGACACCAGGCAAGGGAGACTTAACAGTTCTGGCATGAATTAGTAGTTTAGGAAACAATGCAGGATTTTATTAGCCCATCGTTCCGTCTGTAAATGCCAAATTTGTTGGGCAAATGCCATAGGAGAGAAAAATTGGTAGAAGAAAAGAGATCAGTATACAGGATTTGACAACAGTGGAAATTTCATTTTCATAGAACGTTTAAGCTAGTAAAACTCCTAAAGTTTGTTTATGTGTTTCATAGCTTGTAAACTATCTGATTTTTCAAGCATGCTTGAATAGAGACAGATGTTAATTAGTTGGGTTTGCTTCATAATAATAATAATTACGAGTTAATTTAATATTCGTG